ATTTTTACAATCACACTATTTTATAAATGTTTGAAAATCATCTTAAAATGTTTTACTAATTTACTTTAAGCTATAGTTATAATTTCGAGTTATTTGTTTATAATTGAGTCAATTATTTTATTTTGTTAAAATTAAGAAGCTCATTAATTAGTTATATTTATTCATTTTATTTAAGCTCTAGCCGAATTAACTAATTACCTTAATTTGGTCGAAGTTGCAATTAATGTGGCTATGTGCTTAAGTAAAAAATTGACCAACATCTTGGCCCATTTTTTCCAATTCCCATTCACTTTTTTCAGCCCATTATTCAAATTCCCAAGCCCAATTCGTTCAAACTCCAATTCAAACCATCATCAATCCATTCCATTTTCCTTGAAATCCATTCCTATAATAACCCAGCCCATTACAATATTACAACAACCCAAAATTCCAGCAACATACATCCAAAAACAACCGACAACATACACCCCAAACTGACCCCTGTACGTTCCCCCTTTTTCTTCACGCAGAAAATGACCGAAACGAGCCAGCTGCCCAGAAAAAACGTACAGCAGCGTCGACACAAGCAACAGCAAACAGAAAGCACGTGTTTCTGTCCTTGGGGCTGCGAGATCGAGACACGTCGACGCCCAAGGACAAGTCGTTGATCCCAAACGTTGATTTCCCCTTTCCTCTTTTCGGAATGGGGCGAAAATCTCAGAAAAAGGATGTTTGTCCGAATTGGGGAAGGTTTTTTATTTTTGAATTTTGATTTGGGGCCCTTCTTCTTACCCGAAAATGAGCCCTAATCTCCTCCTATAAATATTCTTTTTCTTTTCAGTATTAGAGAGGAGGGGCGAGGATTAGAAACGAAAATATACATTAGAGTTATAGTTACATGGCTACACACTAGTATTTGGATAAGTTTCTTAAATCACAGAGAGGAAAAAATACAAATTCTGATTATTCTTGTCCGCTTCTGCTTTGATTTTTGCTGAAATTCTTGGAGTCGTGTCTTGGTGGAACCATCCTCGCTTCTACTGGTTCGTCTGAGTTCACTGCTCCAGAGAAGGTACCTGTTCCTTTGCTCTTTCGCTTTCCCTTCGATTATTTCGAGTTAATAGTGACGGGCTGCCATGTAAATAGCGAAATGCCGTTGGATTAGTTTCTTGACTTTGATATGGGCCTATTTTGTTTTGAAAACGGCTAATTTTGTGCTTTGTTCTACTCGGAATGGTTTAAAACTTATTTGGATTTTGATATTGAGCTTGTCTGTTGTGCGGCCTGAATCATTTATTGTGAGTTTTATCTTCTGAGTAGTTTTGGTCTTCGATTGCTTCTCTATTTGACTCGTAGCTACAGATTTCTGCTAATGTTAGCTTATTATCATGTCAAGAGTAAGTCTGAGCTTTGTTGTCTTTTGCGAGCCTGAGTGTTGTCCTTATTTGTTCATTATTTTGTTTTTCATAATATTGTATTGGGCTGGTAGTTTCTTCTAATATTTTGACCGATTGTTTCATATTATGCACTGCTTGATTAATAAAGGCATGTCTTTTTTTTTTTTGTCACAATTCTATTCTATCAAAAATGGTCTCTTAAGCTTGAGTTTAGATTCTTTTAATTTGATTAGAGCCTTTTGTTAATATCAAGTGTAGTAAAAAAAAAATATATATATATAGAGACTTGTTAGTGAGCATGCTTATTAAGAGTTAGTTAAAATTAAGAGTTTTTCATTATCAATTCTGGACACTATCTTGTTTATGCTTTTTCTTTTTATTTATTTATATTTGATGTAGCATAGTTTATTGGTATTTTTTAAAACTATGTCCCTCCTTTGATATCTTTACACTCTTAGGGGTCGTTTGGTTTGAAAATGAGTTATGATGGGATAAGTTATGTTGGGATAAGTTATGTTGGGATTAGTTATGATGGGATAAGTTGTGTTGGGATTTTTTTTTATTGAGTGTTTGGTTTGTTGTATTCAAAATAATAAATTTTAAGAACAATTTATTTGTTTACAAAAATGCCCTTCATTAATGTAAAAAGTGATATAACAAAAGGGTTGAAAGAGACATTTTTGTCATTTACCTATTTTATCCCGAGATAAGTTATCTCGGGATTACTATACCACCCAAGGAGAGGGATAACTTATCCCGGTACTAATTATTAATCCCGGGATAAGTTATCCCGAACTTGCCAACCAAACAACAAAATAAGCAGTACTATAATTTAATCCCGGGACTATTTGGTATTATCCCTCACACCAAACGAGCCCTTATAGTATACATGTTTTGTAGTTTAGTGTTCATTTAGTAATATTTCCTTCCAAGATTTCAATTTATTTTCTACATCTATACCGAGTCATTGTGGGTCCACTGATGCATAATACTTGTATGCTTTATAATCTATCATAATGCTCTATTTTAATATATATATATAAAAATTATTATTTTCTTGCTTTAAGAAAGGGATTAATGAGCTATACTTATATATTTTATTCATTTGTGTTGCATGTGACATCCGTTATGAGTCCTCACAGACTCTTTCCATCGCCATTTGCATTGACGAGTTCTATGTTCAAATCCTTTCCTTTCAAGTCGGCCAGCCAAATGGAATCAAAGAACAAGTCCCCGGAAATTGATTGCATACACTAGTATACACCTAGTGTATACGGAAATGGGCCTAAAGGCCCCCATATTCAGTTTTGTATTTTGTTGTTTTGGGCCTAAGCTCTTATTATTTAATTTTGTTATTACTCCGTTAGAATTTTAGGACAGGTGAAAAAATTGGACCTAAGGCCCAAAGAAAAATATTTCTTTAACGTTAGTAAATGACAGGTGCAGGCGACTCAAATGGGCCGAAGGCCCAATATGAAAATGGGCCCAAATACTGGCCCAGGCGGACAGAAAATCCAGACTTGGGCCCAAATCTTCTTTCCTTATCTATTTATTTGCTATAACGTGTTCTTATGTGCTTATTTAATTTTAAGGTTTCCTAATCAATGCCCCAAAGGATGCTCATTCTGAATTAATCGCTTAAACTAAACTATTCATTCTTTACTTGACTTAACAAATAAATAAGTTTTATAAAATACTTCGCTTAGATAATATTTCAATATTTTTCTTTGTCTCCCTTAAAATAGTTCTAACTACAAAATAGTTCAATTTTGCGATTCAAGCTAAGTTAAAATTATTTTAGCCAGATAATTAATTGCCGGATAACTGCGTATTAGCGGGCATTTCGGGTGCTTTCAAACCCTTCTCGAAATGCTAATAAGAACCTCGAACCCCTTTACAAGTTTTCACTAAATTTCTGTTTTTGTCTTGTGGAATTGAATAGTTTTCTTGATTTTTTCTTAAAAATTAAGTGGCGACTCAAAATCAGTCCAATTATATTTTCAAAATAAAACAGATTGCAGAGACATAAAGGTGAATTTACATATCCATCCTATTTTTCTTCTAATGAAAATGAAATTGACAAAGAAACTTTGGATTTAAATCCGCCAACGTATGCGATATGTGTATCTGCCTCTCCAAGACAAAGGAGAAAACAAAAGCAAAAAAGTTATTTGCTGTAATTTGTTTATAGATAATAGATGTATATTGTTGGCTCTTTATCTGCACTTGCATTTAGCTTTTCATTCATTACCAAAGTATCATTTGATATCAAAGCTATAGATTTCTTACTCTATGTTATGAAACATTTGATATATGGTACCAGATAACAAGTAAGAGCTTAATCTGCATGCACAATTCTATATGTAATTTTCTTCGCAAATGGATTGATTGTCTAGCATGAGTGGAGTAATCTTCCTCTGCACATGGTTGAAATGAAAACATTTATAATGTACATGTGTGTCGTCTTAAAATTGAAAACAAGTGTTGGTATGCACATGTTTTTTTTACTGCTATTATTTCACTTTACCTGATTATGCAAAAAAATATAAAGTTGAAGGTGAGATTTATTTGTATTTTCATTGGAGTTGATGTTGTGAAGTTTGTTAATGTTGTATTAATATTTTATGGCCTTCACGTCGTTCTTTGAGAAACAAAAAACAAAAAAAGTAAAACCTCACAAAAATTAGTGTAGGTGGAACTATTAAATATTATTATTTTGTAGATCTATTATTTAATAGAAAAATTAATATTTATTAATTTAAAGAGTGTTTTGAGATTCAATAAAGGTCAATTTTGGTCACATCAAAATCATGACATCTTACTAAATTATGTATCGTATTTATTAAATTCACATAAAATTTGTTTTACTATACATAAAGTATAATGAATACAGTAAAATTTGTATCTTACTAAATTATGTATTATATTTATTGAATTCACGTAACAAAAATTATCATAGATAAAGTACAATGTATGTCTGATTAATTGTAATATATATTTCTTATGTTTGAAACCAGCTACGTATAAGAAATAATTATCGCATCTAGAACTCACATTTTTATGGTGCAGTTTGAAAAGACAACATCAAAAATTTTGATGCAATAAGCAAAGTTAGAGATGAGATTCAACTAGACTTAAATTTTAACAAAAACAAAACACAATAGAATCATATTTCACTAAATTATCTTAGATATATTTGTACTTTTAAATAATTATTAATTTATAATACTAATGGGACTATATATTTTTACATGGAATTTTCCAATTGCTTTGAAAATGATGAAGAAAATAAGGTCTTCTATGATGAGCTTGAACTCAAGCAAGGGAAGATGGAAGTGGTTGTTCAAGGTCTGTTTGGAGAGTTCTACTACTACAAAAGTTAAGCACACACATCTTGTGGAGTACAACTACGTCCTCTTTCATTATTTATTTCAATATTTCTTGAATTTTCATTGAGATTGTAACAAAATTCGCTTTTATCCTCAATTTTTTTTATCCTCAAAAATGAACCAGCTACATCTTGTTAATAGACAAAGCAATTTCCATCACATTTCTTCACCAGAAATAATCTAGCTAATTTTCGTAAAAGCAATCCTTTTTTAATCTTTATCTTCAAATTTGCAGGTGCTAAGGAAAAGTAAGATGATGCGACTTTGGACGATAGTAGAGAATGATCCCTCATTTCTTGTTGAAGCTGAGACAATTGAAGGTACATAGACGTTGGCAGGAAGCTCTTTGAGACCGTGAGGACAATTCAGATTTCATGTTTTTCTTGTTCTTCTGCTGGAAAATTTACTTCCTTGTTCATAATAACTAAATCACCTTTACAATTGAGACAGAAGTCTGTATAATGATGTTCTTTATTGAGAAGGTAGTGTAATTGTGTTGGATATTGAATGGTAATTCTTGATTACTAGCTTATTTTGTACATTTCATGCAACCATTCAAATTCTGCAGTAGAAACTCTATCTGGGAAGTTTTATGTTAGTAGTATTTTGGTCACTATTCTAGTTCTATAAATCTTTTGGAATGGGTTATGTTTTTTTTTTTGTGCTGAGGTTGGGAGGGAGGAGGATCTCTTGTAAATCCAGTTTGATTAAAAAGGTGAAGACTCTGATAACTGGTTTTTGACATGTACTTGGTCTTTCCATCGTAGATTCATCCCGATTTGTATTTGCCTTTCATGGGACGTTGACATTGTTCGCTTGTTCCTCTTGTAAGGGTGAGAAAAGGTACAATCTCGAAAGATCTTGTAAAATTGTGTCAATACCTTTTGCATCTGGAATAACTTGAACTTTAGTTCTGTTAGTTTTTCTTTGTTATATAAGCTCTTAACATTATTACATATGTGTGACAAATATCTTCAAGCGGTGAGCCTTGTTCAATAAACTGTCTAATATTCATAAACATGGTTAAATAGTTAATTGCTAAGAGCTCAAAAATAATTCCGTGGAGGCTCGAAAGCCTGAAATTATCACCATCTTGCTGATATGTTTCTAATCTGTCAGCATCGGTTGTTGCTTCAGATGATTATATACATTGAATAGGGTAGTGTGATCTTCTCTACTTGAAATATCCATTGGGTAGCAATATGTTTGTCATTCAAGCATGTTGCTCGTTGATAATTAATATCTAGAAGGAAGAAAGTGTAAATATTAACAGGAAAATGCATCTGTAGGAAGCAATATTATTAGCTCCTTTATTCTTCAATAATAAATGTGGAAGGCAGATTTTTTTTTAAAATTTTTGTACAATGAAAAGAATATGCTTATCCAAATCTTTGTATGATACTGTCTCATTGTTCTCACTGTCCCAATGACCCAGAGCTTCACAACCTCTGAACCAGGGTGGCAAAGATTGGCATACTTAGCTTCTTTTTCTTGTCTTCTATAGTTTAATTTCAGACACAGGCTCAAATTCTTGTGGACTCTTCTAGGTGCTATGAGTATGACACTTTAGTACTCTATGTGCCACTTTTCTTTGCTAACCTACAATGGGATAGCTATATTACATGTATACAGTTCCGTATCTTTACACTACTGCAATCTCTGTAGCTTTCTTAGAATGACTCTCTTTGATAAATCTTACATAGAGGTCTGTCCTGCTTGAGTCACACTCTGGAAGGCTAGCATTTCGACCTCCTTCAGACATGCTCTTCACAAATTGCACTAGATTCCGCCAATTTTCTGGCTCAAACAACCGTTTGTTCATTCGCAAGAATGTAAATGCACTCAATCCATTTCCAGAATCTGACATGCTTGTTGCCAAAACTTGAGAAAATGCTCCTCCATCATACCTTTCTAGAGCATTTTCTCCAGCAAGTTCTACTTTAGCAGTTCTAGCTGCAGTTTTAACTTGTCGAACTAAGCCTTCTGGTGAACAGTTTGCACTCTGGGGCTGTTCACCATCCCTCATTTCCATACATGTAAAGTTAAGTACAGCACCATGTTTCGCTAACATACGTGCTATAGGTAGATAACCATCTCTGTGTCTTGTATTATAATATCCTGAAGTTAACTCTGCAGCATGTGATCTAGTATTGTAATGCCAATGAATCCCAGCTACCTTTCCAGATAATTTAGCCCCAGTTCCTTGGTATATACTTTCTCCTGCTGCTAGTATTCTGTCACCATGTTCCAGTAGCTTTCCTGAATACCACTCTAGGAAGAACTGTCCATATTCACTGTTCCATGTTCCATCCCTCTGGAAAAATCCAGTATCCTCAGGAAACTGGTTGTACTTCCCAGAATCATGAGGCCCTCCCTGGCCCCAGTCATCCTTTCCAGCTGCCTTGGCCACTGCTGCCAATGAAGCTCCCATGTACTGCATTAACAAAAAAGACATTAGTTTTTTATCCTACATCTGAAGATCTTCCTACTTTTTTCGAGCCATAGATGCAAGTAATTACCTTGTCATAGCATTGGAATTCTCCAATTCCAGGAAACCTCCATGTACCATTGCTTTCTGGATAGGCTGGATATCTTAGCTCTCCACAAGGACCCATTCCCACTTGGATTTCCTATAGAAGAAAACAGAATGTCAATTTCAAGTTTTCCTACCATTTTAGCTTGGAAAATTCAACATGGGTATATAAGGAGGTCCCCTGTGTCATTTGTATGATTCTATTTACTTTAGTGGTCTACTTTTTAGATTCGTAACCAGCAAATTAAGTGGACCACATGACACTAACATAAAGCAACTTTTTGATTCTGCTTATTCAGTTGTTTTCTTATCCAGAAGGGGAGCCATACGTAACTGGTAAAGTTGATGCCACGTGATCAAAAGGTCACGGGTTCGAGTTGTGGAAACAACCTCAACCCTTGTGGTCCGGCCCTTCCCCGGATGCCGCGCACAGGAGCTTAGTGCACCAGGCTCCCCTCTCTACTTGTTTTCTTATCCACCTTTTTCTCTTTTGGAAAAATTGCCTGATCTGTTTTTGTTTAGATTACTTCAGATTAAACTTCAGCCAATACTTCTTCTAGATTTGGTTGAATTATTTATTCTCTATCCAAAAAGGGAACTATGACAATATGACCTGCAGTGGTTTTTATGTTTAAACTTTTCTCTTTTTACATTAATTAGCAGCTTCAGTTTCCAACTAACTCATGTTCCTCCCTTAAAGATATATCAATTTATCCCTGCTTGAGTGTTTTAATTTCTAAAGCTTATACTTAAAGTTTTCAGTTGATGTTGCTTTAAGGTATGGTGAATTAATATGAAGTGCACTACTAAAGTAATAACATAGGATATGTGATTGATTGTAAAGCAGAAATCTTACCACTATGACGTTTCCCAAGTAATCGTTGAATCTTTCTCTGAAGCTCCTCATATAGTCGGTGTATACTTGAATAGGTGTTCTTCCTTTGAGTACTGGTAACATATCACAACCTAAGGATAGATACTCAGGATTTCTCCGGCCTGATCTATCTGTGTAGACAAGGTCAGGATTCTTGCTGATTTCTTCAAGTACCCATGGAGGTAGAGGAATACTGCAAAATCCATAACAATTCTTAGAGATAGTTTGATTTCTTCTAGAACTGAGAGTCTAGATGTAAGAAGACATTCTAATTCCCACTGAATTATTCCCTCTAAGAGCTATGAACTATTAGTAGTACTTAAGATTGCAGCACAATAGGACTTTGGTCAAAATAACCAAAGATTGAAAACTGTTAGAAACCTACGATCTATAAGTCCATTGGATATTTTTCCTTTGAAAGATCTAAGAAACAGTACTAACATGACACTACTGGTGTTGTTATTTGGAATTATAAGAACTGAAAAGCTAACTTTCCTAGTTCATCAGAACTTAACTAGATAAGTCATGAATCTATGCAAATAGTGGTGTACTAAAACAACAACATATCCAGTGTAATCCACGAGTGGAATTTGGGGAGGGTAGGATGTACGTAGACCTTACCCATACCTTTATGGGGTAGAGAGGTTGTTTTGATAGATCCTCGGCTCAAAAGTAAAGTAGTTGATGCGTAGTTATAAGAAAACAAAACAGTAAAATAGCAAGATACAAAACAACTGTTGAAAAGAGTTTTCTATTAGTACCTGCAAGAATCTCCAACATTTCCTCCACACTGATGAAAAGACATGACAACTTGAAGCTTCAATCCATGTTCTTGACACATCTTTACAAGCTCAGCATATCCTTCCCAATTATACTTCAAAGGTCCATCTTTCTCCACCAATCCCCACCAAGCATCCACCATCACCCCTTCAGCTCCAGAACTTTTTCAACGCCATCAAACTCGCATTCATCGCTCGTGGCCTGTTCAAGTTCCCTCCCATAGTCATGGTGTCAAGTGGAAGCATCACAAAAACAGGTACCCTTGTACTTCTATTGCTGTGATTAGCTGGTAACTCATGTAGCTTCTCTCTTTTCTCAATTTTCTTCACTTCCATGATTCTCTCATGGGAGAGTTGAGCTTCTTGCATCGAACTTTTCGCGACTAGCCGGCATGATGGCTTGGCTTGTGCAAAAGAAACCATTCCTAAGAACTCGTCAGGTGTTTTAACACCTTTGGTTTCTTTGAAACTGATAAAAGAAGCTGATGATTGAAGTGTTAAAGTCATTTCTTATTTCTGTTTTTTGATAATAGAAAATAGATAAACAGAATGTGTATTTTTTTTATTATAGAGTATATGTGTGATGATTTGTGCTGATAATAGAAGATGTAGGTAATGTGTATTTATAGATATAGAAACAAGATCCCTAAAGGTTTGAGGTGCATGAAGGAGACAAGTCTGGTGGTGGGATCTATTTAGAATGTTAAAAAAAAAGTGCAAAAGTTCATCAACTTTTTAACTTGGTTTCAACGAATAATTATGCCCTTCAACTTTGAGTGTGTACAAGTAGACACTTAAACTTGTATAAAATTGAACAAGTAGACACACGTGTCCTATATGGCATAGTACATGTAGAATGCCACGTAGGACATAACTTGTCATGTAGGACGAATGTGTCTATTTATTCAATTTTTATACAAGTTTAAATGTCTATTTGTGCACACCCAAAATTAAATGTCATAGTTGCCAGTTGACGCCAAGTTAAGGGTCATTTTAGATATTATGCCTTTTTCAAAGTCTGTCCTCTACTTGACGTGGTGACACATATAAACAACCATTTTTATATTCCTCTTTTTGTGTTGTCAATATTACACCAAGTC